TGTGCAAGGACAGGGAGCTAGAAGCTTCTGTTGAATTCCCAGTCTTACTGAGGCCTCACTGTGGGATGAATGGCCTTACTTCTGAGACTAGGAACACAGGAATAATGGATATTTTACCGATGCTTTCTGATCTTAAACTTGGTGCTTCAGTATGAGCTTTGTCTGCAACCAAGAAGAAGTTTGGTTTAGAATGGTTTTCTCACTTTCCACCAAAAAAAGACATGAACTTTACAGTTGAACGGAAAGGCAGTTTGGTTTCAAAGTATAAACTAGCCTCTTTCTTCGCTTTGTTCTTTTCTGTTTCATAGTTAAATTTGGTTCCTATAGGAGTTGATCCTATCTAAAGGCAGAACTTCTGCGTTAAAGTTCTTACTAGCGATGTTCTGGATTATCAAAGGTGGACCTGGGGGCTGATCTGGGACGTAGGGGCCTGAAATCTTTTGGAGCAATACCGGCTTGATCTCTTCTAGAATAACTATAGGAATCCCACCACTTCTCTGAGAAGTCTTTTCTGTTCCTTGCTGTTTGTGTGGGAAACAATTCTGATGCACAGTTCAAACTTTCTTTGCTGCAATTAAACCCTGTAATGTTTGTGCCGTGCTTATACCCAGCAGGTATGGGAACAAGTTTTCTTCTCCGTTGCGGATAAACTGTGTGAAGCCTGTAACTGGCTCTTTGATCTCTTTTAAATGCTTAGTTTTCCTATTTAGTGATTCTGATTATTGAAAAAAAAATTGGAATATGGCATGTCTTCTAGTGGTCTTGCCTGGACTTTGGTAAGCTTATATCCTTCTGGAGAGTTGGTATGCAAAACTGGCCATAAGATCCGAGTTAAGAGCTTGGAAAAGCTGAAGGAAACAAGACTTCAGTTAGTGTGTGTACTTCCTGTGTAAGAGGAGTATTGCAAGTTTGACACCTTTGTAAGATTTTTTTTTTTTAACTTCTGTTTAGATTCTCTTCTGTGGAATTCAGTCAGCTACTCATTCCATGTTTTTTATTTGTGCAGCTGAATATTGCTCCCGGAGCGTAACACTTCATGCTTATCCTTATTGAACTGCATCCTTTTTGTTTCAGACCATTGCTCCAATCGGGCAAGATCT